TTCAATAGATGGAATAATCAGTGTAGTTGATAAAATGGAAGATACTCAAGAAATACAAGATATAATATTTTATTTTAAAGAAATGGCAATTAATCAGCCAGATAAGTTATTAAGTCTATTAAAGGAGAATAGTAATTTATTATGTGCGGTCATGTATTTACTAATTAAAAGTAAATTAGTAGATGAGAGTGTTGTTGTTAAAATTTTTAAAGATTCTCTTGATGTAGAAAATCAAGAAAATCAGATAGAAGAAAGAATTAAGTCCATGGACAGTAAATTTTTAACTGATGAAACTAAAACAAGAATAGAAAAGTTAAAATATTTAATTTCAAAGAAAAACTAATAAAATTTTTTAAAAAAATTAAAGGATTTTTTCTTTAAAAATTTTTACTAAAAAATTTTTATTAAATGATTAATGGATTTTTATCAGTTGGGAATGCGTTGGTTTTAGATAGACTTATTAGAACAACTAAGTCAAATAAAATTATTTTTGATTCAAGGTCATCTAATGTAATAATTTCATTAGTAACAGATGACTTTTCACATTTCACTAAAATATCATTTGAAAATACTTTCTTTAGTTCATTAAAAACTAGTAATGATTTTGTTATATTGCCTTTAATCTCATTTTATAAACCTTTTATGAGGGTAATGCAGATCATACAATCTAAAGAAACAACCGAATTAAGATACGAACTAAGTTTTAATAACAAGGCTGTTAAGTATAGAAAAATATTTTATAATTTAAAAAAGAGTGAGTTTGATTTTAAATTTAAGTGTTGGAATTCTATCAATGTAGATTTTTTAGCTTTAAAAAATGTTCTAAAAAGATTTAGGGATGATTTTATTGAATTAAGAATAGGAGACAAATTTGAAATAATAGAAAGAAACACAAAGGTTATTTTAAAACAAAAAGAAGGTGTGCTTACTGATTCGGTTAATTTAAGTACACTAACCGACAAGTTTAAAGTTGATTTAAAAACATTTAAAGAAATACTAGAAGTAATTGATTTATTTGAAGAATCATCATTTTGTTTAGCAGGATTAAAAGAACCTATTAATATTATATTTAGAAATTCTAACATAATTTTTAGTACGTATGTGTCAACAATGTAAATAAATTTACTTTCCTTATTTGTTTATTTATTGTTTTAGAATTTCTAAATAATTAAGATTATAA